TATCATGCTTAATGGTATTAATCTACACTTTTTTGAATTCATATTTGTAGTCATTTAATTTATCAGAAAGACAAAAATGACAAATTAAACATTAATATAATGAATAAGCCTATTTATTAAGCTAACAACATCCTACAGTAAGTTATATTTTATCTTGCAAAAACATTCTTTGTTTCATAAAAACATGTATCATATTTAATTCTCCTAAATATATATGTGTATATATATATGTATATATATTTTTAAATACCAAACAATACTGGACTCGAGTGTCTGCATTAAAGTCAAAGATAAACAAATGCATTCTGGGTTTCTGCATGTTTCCCGTGTGTAAAATAAAAATATTTGATTTATGAAAAAACATAAAAGTGTATATATTAATACTCTGAGCATACAGGTAATATAAGCTATTGAAACTCAACCACATCATTTTGATGCAGTGATTCTTATTAAACAATCATGTTGGTAGAACAGAATCTTAACCTGGAAGCAAGTTTAGAATGTATCTTGGCCAATCTTTCATCCATTGTATGAATTCATTATCCAAAAAGATTGACAGAAAAGGAGACAATAAAAGCATGAATTACACTTTGGTTGATATTTGTAAATGTTGTAAAAATTTTGTATATAGTATATCTGATGAAATTTTAAGTATATAGTAGAATATTTCTGATGCCATTTTAAGCCCATCCATTTTTACTTAACCGTGTAATTGGAGCCACCAATTATATTATTCATTAAATAAATAATTATTGACATAATCTGCTGGGCTGCATGTTTGATGAAGGGGTTACAGTGGAGACCCAAACCAGAAATAATCCATGCTCAAATGGAGCTTACAAGATAGAGGTGAGGCAGAAAATTAAATATGACAGCAAAAATGAACATGAAGTATCACAGCATAAAACTGAAAGTACTGTGAAGTGTATGATGCTATGAGAGCATATATGGTAATCTCCTTAAAAAGTGAAATCTTGGAAGTTTGAAAAGAAACATTACATCTTTGACATATTTTCTTCAAATAGTCTGTATCTTTACATGGTACTAAAATAAGTCACTGCAGTCTGAATGAAGGAGATTAGGAACTGTATGAAGGTGCATGTGTGTGAGTGTGTGTGTCTTTGAATGTGCAAGTGTATTTATGAGTATTATTTTGTCCATCAAGAAACCTTACTCTTCAGTCTTCGTTGTCGATTCACAGTAGAGAATACATTGGGGTAAATTAGGTAGAACTTATCAATGAATAACTTTCATAGGATATTGAGAAACAAGAATTCATAGAAACTATAAAAGTGACTCTATGGTACATACTGTACTTGTAACTGATTCTTGGTTTGGATGTTGTTGCCAGGTTTTATTTTCTCTTTATTTCGTGGATGTTAGTTTTCTTTCTTCTTTCTCTGGCAGAACTCCAAGGTTAAAAAAATGTGTGCTGTTTTTATTTTGAACAGCAAGAATGTTTGGAAATAACTGAGCAGCAGGAAGATAAAACAATTGAGGAGGAAGGGGGTACATATTGCAGCAAGGTAAATAACTAAAGATGGCCAAATGAATTATGGCACCCCAACAATTGAAAAAAATAACTATTTACATGTAGTCATGGTCAATAAAATAGCTTTAGGAATTATTTAATTTTGTTGTATATTAATCTACACATAAGGGACCAATGGAACATAAATTTGTCCATGAATACTTCAAGCAAAATTGAGAAAGAAGCACCTATTACCCTAACACGTATGGGAAAGTATTGTTTTTAAAGGTATCTTGAAACATTCAAGACAAATCCATACTTAATTATTGTATACATGCATGAAAATGAATTCACTTTGATTTAAGTTCAAAAGGATGCTAAGGGTTGATCATTATCAGATAAATGTGATTAATGAAGGAAAAAACTGGACCAACTAAGCATAAATAAATTAACATGGCAGAATTTTGGATTTGGGCAAAGCTCTATAGATTGCCCAGTCCATCTCCCTTATTTCATGGATTAGAAAACTGACCCCAGAGATTTTAGACGGTGCAGATGTCATGAAATTAGATAAAAAACAAGATAGGAGATGAAACCAAGTTTTCCCAGGGCTGTGTTAGTTCTAAAATACTAAACAAATGAATTTGATTAATTTAAAGGTACTATGCTATTCAAAGTTATAAACAGATGAAGCAAAACAAAAAGTACAAAACTGCACATTCCCTATTTGCCACTTCTACTGTTAAAATGGTTACCAAAAATTTTAATATTTATAATGAAAGCCAATAGGTATAGGTTACATGAGATCAAATAAAGTCAGAAATTGCCAGGATGTAGTCTTACTATAAATAACTCGATTTCAATGTTCTTGCAATATATCTATTTTTACATGTTGAAAAATAACTAAAGAAAATTATAGAATATTTAATTAGCAAACATCTGCCCTAATTATTTAGGTAGTATACTATATGGATTTTATGAACACGATATTTTTATTACCACCACAATTTCACTCACTATTACCTCAATTATCTTTCCTGTTTTTCCGTGGATGTGCTCAGTTACAGGATATGTTACTATCAAAAAGTATTGCATTATGTGGACATGGTTGATGTGGACCTAAATTATATGAATTTTTTAAGTAAAGTAAATAGTTCTGTCTAACTATCCTTAAGAAATAAACACACCTCCTTCCAAAATTCTACAATACTGATGGAAGGAATTAGTGACAATTAGGCCATTGCTTTCTCTATATGTGTTTCTTATTGGTCATGGAAAAAAATTGTGATCTCCATATTACTAATGGAGATTTCTCCTATAAGAGGGCAGCTTTACACTAAATTTAGTCTCATTTTTTTTCTCTCCCTTCCCTCTGCACATTTACAATGATTCCTGATATACATTACAGTCAGATATAGCATACTGAAAAATGAAATAAGTGATTAATCATGGAAGCTCACATCTGTAATCCCAGTACTTTGGGAGGTCCAGATGGGAGGATCACTTGAGGCCAGGAATTGGAGACCAGACTTGGTTATATAATAGGACTCCATCTCTACAAAAAAAAAAAAATTTAAAAAATAGTCAGGTATGCTGGCACGTGTTTGTCCTAGATATTCCAAGCCGAAATGAGAGGATCACTTGAGCCTAAGAGTTTGAAGTTGCAGTGAGCTACGATCATGCCATTTTGCCCTTCAGCCTGGGCAATATAGCAAGGCCTTGTCTTTAAAAAAAAAAAAAAAATGAAATAAGTAAGCTTTAACTGCTTGTATCAGTCAGGGTGAACCGGAAAAGCAGAAACAATAGCACACACACACACAATAGTCTTGTTTCCTATAGCAACATTTTAGTCAACAATAAACCACATGTATGGTAGTAGTGCCTAAGATTATAATGGAGCTGAAAACATTCCTATCTAGTGATGTCATAGCCATCATAAAGTTGTAGTGCAACACATTATCCACATTTTTGTGGTGATTTTGGTGTAAAGAAACCTACTACATTGCCAGCCATATAAAAGCATAGCAATGCAATTGTGTAAACTGCAATGCAACTATGTAAAATTGCATTTTTTAGGTAAAAAATAATTTTTATGTAAAAAATAATTATGTAAAAGCAATGCAATTATGTAAAATACTTGAGAATCACTATGTACTGATTTATGTTTAGTATACTAAGCCTTTATTGTTATTTTACAGCGTACTCCTTCGTCTTATCAACGACAAAAGCTAACTGTAAAACATCCTCAGGCAGTTCCTTCAGGAGATATTCCAGAAGAAGTTGTTATCATAGGAGATGACAGCTTCATGTGTATTACCGCCCCTGAGGATCTTCAAGTAAGACAATACGTGGAAATGGAAGACAATCACATGGATGATCTTGACCCTGAATAAGCCTAGGCTAATGTGTGTGTTTGTGCTTTAGTTTTTAACAAAAGAATTTATAATGTTAAAAATTCCATTTTTAAACTACAAGAAAGGTTACAGAATAAATAAATGAAGAAAGCAAATAAATTTGTATGGAGGTACAGTATATGCTTTAAGCTGTGTTATTACACAAGAGTCAGAAAGTTTTTAAAACCTTTATAAAGTAAAAAAGCTACAGTAAGCTAAAATTAAATTATTATTTGACAAAGAAAATGTTAAAAATAATATTATGTGGCCCATGTGTACAGCATTTAATAAGTGTACAGTAATACACAGTAATGTAGTGTCCTAGGCCTCCACGTTCACTCACTACTCACTCAGTGACTCACCCAGAGCAACTTCCAGTGCTCCATTCATGGAAAGCGCCCTATACATGTGCACCATGTTTTATCTTTCCTATCATATTTTTACAGTACATTTTCTAAGTTTAGAAATGCTTACATAGGCAAATTAGGAAGAATATTTAAAATATCCCAGTAGCAAATGCTCCCAATAGCAAGAATAATTTTCCTTTTTTGAGGAGAAAATTTTTAGAAAAATTGCCATATCACATCATTATTTAACAACAAAAAAGAAAAAGCATTATTTGCGACCTATATTATTTTCATAGCACTTTCTCCATAAAGTGGAGAAAGTGATGGCACAGGACAATGATACCACGAAAGTGACCAAAAATCATTAGATTATAAAGATTCCCTCTCAAAGCTAAACTTGTTGATCTAGTCATAGTTAACACAAATATCCTTCCACAAGAGGGAATTAAGATAGTTCTATAAATTTGTGGCTAAATAGTTCAAAAACCACTAATACACCAGTTGAGTTGTACTTTCAGAGAAGCACGTCTAGAATGAAATTATTTTAGCAAGTAAAAATCTAATCAACTGAAATGTACCCTGTGTGGAGAACTAAATGTTAGCAGAAAGGGCATGGTTAGTGAGCATATTAACAATATTTTCTTGCATGAAATTAGGGGAAAAATTTTTAGATGCTGTGATTTTTTTTTTTTCTCAACTCAGCTGTAAAATCTTGTATTGATTTTTAAGGAAAACATTCTTACATTTTCCAATTTCTTATGTCACGAGAAAATAAATTATACTCTTAGCACTGAACTTAGCACATAGAGAGCATTCAATTAATTTTGATGAGTGATTGTTTTATTAATAGATGAGTAAAAAGGAGAACATGAAACCTGTTTCTGTAGCCTCTAATATATTAATATATTTTTATTTGAAAACTTTGAAAATGAAATAAAAGCCTCTGGTAATTTTATTTTTATTTTTATTTTTTTTTCACATTAGAATTTACAAAGAAGATTGACTATTAATTAGATTGAACTATAAGAAATCATTAATTTTGATATATGTGACCTAAAACTATATCAGTAATAAACAATCCAGCCTTTAATTCAGGTAATCTTTGGAACAAACTTCCTGGATAGTACTGACTCCACCTGATAGACAATGAAAATGATGCTGAGTAGATGATTTGCCTAAGCTTACAAAGAGAGCTGGCAACAGTACTGAAAGCAAATTTTTAAAATTATGTTCAATGTAACAGACATTGAAAGCTTAATGTGGCCCAGGCACTCTTCCAGCTAGTGAGTATATATGAATAGATAAATTCAGCTCTCTGGCATGAAGAGTTCTTTTAATCCCTCACCCCAATACACCTCTGAAGAAAAATTATTCAAAATTTATTTTGATTTGTATCTAAGGATTTTCCTATGGAGATTTATTCCTACCCTTGTCAAACTCCAGTGCCTACATTTCAATTTGTGAAAGTGTGTATTTCATGTTTGAATGTAAGATTTATGGTAAAGTATTCCTTATTAACTTTTTATCACTGATCTACTGCATGGAGAAGTGTCAACCAAACACTGGTGAGGAAGGTAGAAATTGAATTTGAAAAATCAGTATTTCAACATTATAAAGGTGTCTTTGGTTGTAAGGTAAGAGTATATGCAGAATATCCTCTGTTTGTAGTCCTCTAAATCAACTATCTACTCTCCTCCTCCCAGCTCTGTGTCTCAGAAAGCTGACCTCCACGAACTTTTGGCCAGTAGAATTTGGCCTGTAGGAGGCTTTAGTGAAGTATTGAGAAAGAGAGACAAGAGGGGGCTTGCTATTTATTTCCTCAGAAACTTCGCCCAAAAGCCAGTAACCATTTGGTAATGATTATCTTACCTGTATCAAACATTACAGCTCTTTTTAAAAGGCCCCATGATTTCAGAACCTCTGAGGTTCTCTGAGGTAACACGTACCTTCTCTCTTTCAGGACAAGGATGGTAATAGCTTTACCCTGTTACCAAACCTGGGTGCATCAACAAAGCCTGTTGGTTTTCTTGACCCTGTTCGTATCTCACTACTTAAACTTTTCTTTAATTATACTTTGACTATAATATTTGTTTTTTGCCCGAATCTTATTGCAGAAGAACAATTTTTATACAACACTGAGTGCCCATATTGACACAATATATGGAGCTAACTCATCAAAATCAAAAGAAGCTGAAATATATAACCAAAATGCCTATTTTCTAATATACAGAGAAAAATACTTTTCTTGTCAGAAAAATGGTTATACTTGGTAATTAGACTTTGTTAACATCCAACTTGAAACTAGTACTTATTATCAAATTATTTAGCACATTATTTTATTTTCAATTACTTAAAAGTCAAAGTTTTGTTAACATATTCATCTGTTAATGATTACCAGTGTGATTCTCAAGAGGTGGTGTTCAATACTCTCTCTGAATTAAAAAAAAAAAAAAAAAGTAAGGCAGAGGCAAATGAAAGAAAGAAGTAACTAAAACGTTGTTTTAATAAATATTCTTAATAAGTTAAGGGAGACATAGTGGCTTTCATTTCTTTGAGAAAATAGCATTTATAGTTTTAATTATTAAGCGAACATTTTATGTAAATTATTCTGTTCGTAGTTAACTTCCTTCACCATAGAAGAAAAATGATTTATGAATAGTTTCGAATAAAATTGAATGACCTATATCATGGTCTTAGCCTCATAAAGAAATGTTAAGTTCTTTACAAAGAGAGATAGAGTTATTTTATAAATGTGAAGTAGAAATTCTTGTACATAGTTAATCTTGCTGTGCAATCACCTAAACACTGAGAGGATGAACAATCACTTCATGTAAAAGAGCAGAGCAAAGCAGAAAAGGGCTATACAATTGTCAGTTAACTTTTAGAACTAAAATGATAAAGAAAAAGACTGTATGATTAACAAGTATCATTAAGGTGACATTTTTATGATGCTGATGAATCTCCAGACATCAATTAAATTGGTCTTCATGCTTGAAGTTATTGAAATAAGGACTAAAGTGTAGAGTCAAAGACACACAATGGTTTTTGATATTTCCTATATCCCTGATTAAGGAGATGAAACTTAAAAGCTACGTATAAAAATGGTGACTATAGGAAAATATGAAGAAGACTGTGTGATGACTTTATTCAAGAGACATCTATTATGCACTCCCAGGCACTACACAAGTGCTTGTGAGATAAAGATTAATGGTATTGTCTCCTATGTGGAGGAAACAAATGTGTAAAGAAAAATTATAATTCAAAATGATAAATTCTATCATAAGAAAATGACTCAAAGCTATTATATTAGAGAAGTTGACATTACTGCTGGGACAAAAAACTGAAGAAGTTTCTAAACAGTAATAGAAGAGTGTGAAACTTTGAAGAAATGAAATAGGAGAAGATGACATTCAGCTTGATGGATGTGATCAACAAAAAATAAAAAGGGAGAGGTAGATTGGGGCCATATTGTAAAACGTTTGAAGTCTATTGAATATAAGTTTTTGGGTTTTCTTAAGGAAAATTTCTTCTTCTATAGTTCATAGATATGAGAAATTATAAGCAAGTCGATGGCATAAACAGTGTTCAAAGGTGGACTTAATGAAATTCTACTCAGAGATTATTGTATTATATATAATTTGCATCAAATCCAAAGTGTGAATTGTAAGTGCTTAGAGATGTTAAACAGTTTCGTCATAACTTAATGCTCACATCCCAAATATTGCCTAAGTTTTCTTTCCACCTCCTTAAAAAGATTTCTTAATGAAATTAAACTATATTTCTCCATTAAAAATGAACAAATCCTAGTATTTTTCTTTTGGTTTTCCATTTTATATTTCGTATATATTTCCCCTTTGTCTTCCCCCATAAACATATTTTCTCCTCCTAATCCTCCATGTTTTTTTAATAAATCCCAGAGGGCCAAATTAATTTTTCATTTGGTGCTATAAATGAATGAATGATTTGCAAAAGTTAATTAGTTAAGCATAGGAGGAAGTTTACTAAGAGCTACTAGTAATCCTATTTTTATGCATTGATTTGCTGTTAGACAATCTAAATGCTATGAGAAAAAAATCAAACCTGTTGTTAACAGATTTTGCTTTGTAGTTTTCTATATAGTCAAAAATATAAGGTGAAAAATGATGTGTATAAGTATTAGCTGTGAAAATAATAATATTTTTTACTGGAATTTAGTTATCAGCATGGATATATTTTTAAATCATTTGTTTGATTGCATGTGCTTTAGTTAATCTGGCTATACTATTTTAAATACTCAATTTCCATGACAATTAAATTTGGTATCAGTGTTGGGATTATCTAGAATATAATAGAAATAAGACCACAAGTCGTGTGCTTAAGAGAAAATAGTTACTTTCTCCCTGTTGTGTAAACTAGTGAGAGCTCTCATTAAAGTTCCCTACATTTTCTTATGAGTGTGTTTTAAATGAAATAAATGTTCTCCATCATTCTTCATTCCAACATAATCAAAAGCTTATTTTTTAAAAATTATAACTGTAACTGGAAGTGCACCCAATTAAATATTAGATGAACTATAATTTTTAAATACTTCCCATTTTTACATATTTAAGTACCGATGTATGTTTTCTTACTCTTGACCTCACAGAAGCTCATTTATACCCTGTTATTGTGGTAGTATTAAAGTATTG